GGTTCTGTATTTTAGTTTCATAAAAAGTATTGAAATTTTGAAAATTTGTAGAGGAGTGTCCCCGAGGAGAATTTGATTCTGCGGGTTGCTTTGAATTGGAATTCTGGATGTGAAGGGATGCTATTTGTAGATATTATGGGTTATGCCAAGTCTGGCTAGATAATTTGGGATTCACAAATTTAAGGGGACATCATGACTTAATATGCTTCAAAGTCGTGAATTTTTTGGGTCTTTTTCATTTTTCTTGAGGTTGCAGTAGTATTAACTCATGCAGGCTAGAAGTGGAGATGAAGTGTGGCTTCATTATAGTTTAACATTCATAAATTTTAGGTCAGTGGGGAAGAGAAGTTGGCTTCATTATATTTTAACATTCATGCATTTTAGGATAGCGAGGAAGAGAAGGTTATGCTGAGTCTGCTTAGATAATTTTGGCTTTTACAAATTTCAGGAAACATCAAGACTTAATATGCTTTATGGTCATAAATTTTTCGGTCCCTTTCATTTCTCTTGAGGTTGTCAGTAGTTAATCCGTAGAGGCTGGAAGTGGAGATGAAGTTTTGCTTCATTATAGTTTAATATTCATGCAGCTTAGGACAACAAAGGGGGTATGTCTTGTCTTTGTTTTTTTCTTTTCTTTGGCATATCCATTGAGAAAATTGGTCGATTGCAATAAATGGGTTTGTAAGAAGTTATAAATTTGATTCAATCGGAATTCATTTGGGGAGAAATGATGTCACTTGGGTCGTTAGCGTGTATATGCTTTCTTTTTATAGCTTGCTTGGCTAAACTTTCAAGTGTTTTATGAGCAGTGTGCCTCAGGAATGTGTGGCTAAGAAATATGTAAAGTTGTAGTTAGAACCTGCAGACAAGTATAGAGTTTGACAACTTATAAGCAATTGTAAGGTTTGAGGTCAAAGTTTTGTATTTTAGCTCAGCTGAAGATTATTTTTAGTATAATCACTTTGTTCATCAGAACGTGTAGCATATTGTTCTCATGTTTGACATATGTGTAGCATTGTTCAGGAACATTTTGACATAAGCTGTGTTCTTCATGGTCGAGTAGCATATTTTTCTACTCTTGTAAATACATTTTTTTTTCACTGTAGAAATACTTATCCATAATTTTTTTAATGTCTGTAAAGTTTTGCTCGTTCCATGCATTCATACTAACACTCTGTATTTTTTATTTTATTTTATTCAATTTATTATTTTTGCAACAACATCATTTTATATGTTTTTAAGAAAGAATGGTTAATATTTTCCAATAAAGTATTAGATCATTAAATGTGATGTCGTAGTTCACGAAAAGAAAAATAATGGCTTTCTAATGAAACATAAACACGCTTATTTGCTCCCGATGTCTTGCAGACAAGTTCAATTTGCACATGAGTATATTTATTCAAACTCATAATTTATTCTATAATTTCCATAATACCACAATTCCCTCAACAGAATACAATGCATTGCTAATGCCCATAACCTATTGTTGCCCTACTCTCTTATTCTTATTTCATTAAATGAATTTGGTAAAGCTTGGACAAGGTATATAAGAAATTACGAGTATAGACCATGAAACAGTGACAACAAGAACATGCAACAAACTAAAATCATAATGCCTTAGCTTCATTTCTGCTGTTCTTGCATGTTCTTTGTTACATCTTTTTAGCTCTATTTTCAATATAGAATACAAAAATGACCCAAAGACTTTTCAATAATTACAATTTTCACACCTTCATTTTCTTGATCTTATTTTTATTTCTTATAAATTCTTCATCTCTACTGTTGAGTATTAAATTTTCTTTTCCTATTTTTTTTTCCTTGGGGCTTCAAGAGAGTGGTCTATTGTTTTCCTTCTATCTTTGCATCACATCTTGTGAAGCTTGTATAAAGGAACAAAAGATTGACATGGAAATTGAATGATATCAACCTCATATATGCCGATTCCATATTTGCTTTAGTTGAGGGTCATTTTTTTAATCGAAATAATGTTTAGATATGATTATGATTATGATTATGTTTATAACAAGATCAAATGACAGTATTCTAAACATTAGGATGGAAAATTATAAAACTAAATTATAGCTTTAGCATAAAATTGAAATATATATAACTTCATACATAATACAACTTAAGAATGATAAGAAGAAATCTTCTGAAATCTCTCACAAATGATCTCATCATACATGTACAAACATGAGTATCTGTGTTAGAATAGAACCTAGAAAGCCCAAAATCTGTTGTGAATATAAGATACTGGAGGCTAAATATTTATAATCATGAAAATAGTAAATTCAAGAAAAGGAAAAACAAATAAATATGAAATTTGATATTAAGAATAATGAAAATGAACCAAATTTGGCCTAACTAAACCTGGAAAACCAAATAGCGGTTTGTTCACCATGAAATAATGTTTTTTAGTCAAAATTAGAAAAAAGTAGAAATTTGAATTTCTCCATTTTTAAAGTTGGGAATTAACTTGTCTCTCTGACCTTTTATGATTGTAAATGTGCTATCTTTAGCTCAAACTTCTTCTAGACGTTCAACTTAATTGCCTTCAATTTGGATATAAAAATGTTCTTACAAGATGGAATCGAAAGTACTTCTTATGCGAATTATTTGGCCACAACGAACAAAATTAATTATTTTGTAGGTTTTATTAATCGAAAGATCAATTGATCTTTGTTCGTTATGGCCAAGTCATTAATAAAAAAGAAAGGACTACATATTTGATCGAGTTAAAATTAATTGCAACTTTAATTGAATAGCAAACAAGATGTTGTAATTTTTCTAACCAATCCTTAAATTATTAATTAAACTAATGAAAGCAAGTAAATGTATTTTTCAAATATGTGAGATGCATTGCTAAGATGTTGAATCTTCCTTGTTATTCCATTTTTAGTATACAAATTAAAGTGACAATTTGAAATCATTCATGTTGATCAATGTTCCTAATTTAATTAAAAGTCCTTCTCGATAGCGATCAAATCTATTCTCCTCATGTGACTCTTCTATTTTTCAATTAAAGGTGCAAACATGAAATACATTAATAAGAGTTAGAATACATGTTGAAACCATTTAAAGAAAAGAAGTATATCTCTATTCTCTATTAAACCTTACAATATTTATTATATTATGCTTAAACCTTATTGTTCTCTCGATAACAATAAAATTTGCTACAATTCAATTGGTTATCAAGTAATTGAAAAGAACGATAAAAATTATAATAAACATCCACAAATCAAATCAAATTAACGTCAATATAATTAATTAAAAACTAATAAAAAACATAATAAGGGTTCGTCTTGTCCTAGCAATGTATAAAACTATCCTAACATATCGAAATTATAAGAAATCATGTTTAAGTGAAAAGACATAACTGGGATTTTTGATAAATTGATAAGGTGAAGATGAATCTTGAAATCTTGAGTTTTTTCAATGGTTTCCTAATGAATCTCCACTTACACCTTCTATTCTTTGCCCAAAAATCAAGTTTGAATCTCCATTTGATTGAATTCTTACAAGTTCCCTTCAATTCTCTCACAAAAACTACGAATTTCCCCCATTTAATGATAATAATTGATGAGTATTAGAGTATGATATGTATATGAAAGATGTAGGAGATGTCTCTTTAATTTATTCTATTGTGACGTATTTGCTAGGGTAAAAAATTTGTTGAAAATCACGTCCAAATTGGTTTCCAACAGAGTTTCAATCGAATAAGGAAAGTTATCTTCGCGCATGGGTTAGTATTTTTATCATAACATTTTCTCTCGTTATCCAATTGTATTGATTCAAAGTGTGTTAGAAAGCTAATTGAAAGGGCTAGCTACAATTTTCCTTGAAATAATATTTTTTCTGATTTGGACGCTTACTATGCCTAAAATGTGTCTCAATATTTGACTAAAAATCTGGAAGATATCCTGTGTGATTGGAAATCAATTTATGGTAATATTCTAATCATATTCCATTCTTTTTTACTTCTAGTTGCATCCAATTGACTCATAACAATTTTAAAGTATCTATTGTGATCCAAATCAACCATTGTTGGACATTTTTTGCCTTTTTTGCTTCTTTCTTTCAATTCCTCTTTCAATCATCGAGTTTTACCTAATAAACAAACTATACAATAAATTAGGCTATAATTCTTTAAAAGAACTATTAAATGTCTATATTTTCATGTTTAAATAAGTACACTTATCAAACACCCCAAACTTAAACATTTGTTTGTCCTAAAACAAAACCATAATCTAAATTAACAAACATACAAACACATAAAATGTTTTGGTTAGATAATCTGACATTTTACTATGTCAAAAATGGGTCATTTTTTTTTATAATTCAGGTGTCCGAGCTTGGTGACTAATCATGAGGAGTGGCGACTGTCCCTCTGGTTCGCCACGTGGGTGAATTCGGATACGGTTACAACTTATACACACTTGGGCCGTACATTCGGGATGCGATTTTCTTCTCTGTAGACCTCCCGCTACAACGTGTAGACAAGACCCCGATGGGTGAAAAAAGCGCACTATAACTTTGCCTCCACAGGACATCTACCTTCCAACATAAATATTGCCTTCGATACTCCGTAG